GAATTCACTCCAAAGGCGTTTAGGGGGGAACTTGAACGCGTAAAATTCCAGTGTGAAACTGAGTTTTCCGAACAAGTTTAGGATGCAACTTATGCATTTTGCAATTTTAAAATTCTAAGAGTGGAGATGCTATATTTATGAATATTATGTTGTTACATCCTATTTATGCTTATTCAATGACAAATTGTTTACATTAATATCAGTACGCCGTGTATAACAAATGTCCCATTGCATGTAGTCAAGAATATAACTATTAACACCTTAGTATTGAATAAGACATCAGTAACACAATTTACTCTTTCTATTTCTATCTTTTCAGAATAGAATGGGGAAAAGGTTGTAAGAAGGTGGTAAAATCAGGTTTTCGCTATAAGACTGCGCATCACTTTGGGACACTTCACAAAGAAAAAGTTAGCTCAAGTTTGGATAGACCAATGCAAATTTCATTTCAGTTTGTAAGATAAGCAAATGTTAGACAATCTTAAGCAATCATTCGAATTTTATTTAAATGAACTGTTAACAAACTAAAACTGATAGAAAATATCAGGCTCGCCATGGATTGACCCAGCCCACATTGGGTGATAAGTAAGTCAATTGACAAAGTTTACAACTTCATTACTCATTATCAAATAGGAAATGTAAAAGTTGTTATCTACGATGTTTCTAACCATGCAACAACAGTAAGAAAATCAATTTTTCAACAGGTGAATTTAAGATATCCTACAAGTAGTTTTCAATAATAAGATGTAGGACAGAACAGACCTAGAAAATCCTCCAGAACCAGCACCAACTCCGCGAGCTGCAATTCCAGAATCAATGCGGAAAACCTTGGCGTTGTCTTTTGGCAAAGATATGTATCGTTCCATAACTAATCCTCCACCTATATCACCTTCCAGCTTCAGAGACTCCAACTCCCCTTCCTGTTTCAGATCCCGTCTATGAAACAGAAAGAATTTGTACAGTGAGTAACGGAGAAGAAAAAGTCCCCTTATGGGTAGAATATACAATAGTGTAATCAAAATTCTAACTTTACTAGTAAGCAAATAAGGAAAGATAATTTCCATAAATGAAGAATTACCATATAAGACCAAATTGAACGGCATTATGAGTTGGGACAGAAATGAAGAAATACAACAGAACAATCACACGAGAGCTTGTTGAAGATGTCATATATGAAGTGGTTCTAACATGCATCGGGTACAACTTTGAGAAATATATGCCCCTCTCTCTACGTGAAAAACATAATCACTTTTTCCAAGTATGTTTTCCATATTAATAGCTAGAAACTACTAGTGATACCCAACATTACCCAATTCAAATCCATATTTTCACCTTAAGATGATTAACATATCAGAAGCCAAACACTTGACCCTTCTTGATATTTAAAACAGTACCAATTCTCTAAAAATGTGACCAAGGAAAATCACTACCAGATTATTTTAAAAAACTGTAGTAATGTCTCCTGGATTTGAGTCGAGAACAATCCAGCAAAATATCATTACCTGATATAAGGCACTCTCTGACGATTGATTCTATACATAGCCGGTTGAGAAGTTTAATGATCAAAAAAATTGTTTCACGGATTAATTCTACAATGTATAAAAATTCAGCTGAGTTTTCTTTCCCTGTTTCCACATCAGTAATCCATTTCTACTTATATCCACATAAAATTAAATATTCAAATCTAGTTTCACTATGAGATGAGTAAACCATTCCAGGATATACAAAAAGAAGCTGACCCTACAAGGCTGCTGGTTTTTCTCTTTCACGATTCAAATGGGAAGTATAAGAGAAAACTTCACCTTACCCAGATTTCAGCTCAATACCAACAATGGCTCCTGTTTTTATTATCTCATGCTTTTCATTGCTTTCACATTTTGGAGCTGTTAATTTTGAAGTTCAGCTACACTTACTTTTCTTTCTTTCGGACCACAGAGACATGCACAACTTTCTATCAGGTGAGGAGATAAAGTCTCCCTTATAATTGAATCGCAAAGGATTTACCATTTTCTTCAATGAAAATAGGAAAGTTGAATTCAGACACGGAGCATTTTCAGTTTTCCATTTTTGATCAGTGAAGAACAAATCCTTGTCATTACTAGGACTTGACTAATACTAATTTCTTCTCTGTTACCAAATAGAAACTATTTGAAACATAATGCTAGAGTGATGAACTTCTTATTAACTTACTCAATAACTGAATAATACTCGGTACATCCAGGTGATCTGTATTCACGGCCACTATATTCTTCGTACCCATTTACTTCCACTCGGCTATGAAGCCATTGAGTTCCTGTTACAGGGAAAATAGATGAATAAGACAGTATATATATTCGACATTCCTGCTGCTATCAGTACTTTACCGCTTATAGGTTTACAAAAGAGGAGCAGAACAGGGGAGCAATTTAGTTGGACAGAGATGCAAAGTACAGAGTAGAGAAAAAGATGCGAGCTCAGACAGCACTGCTCCTTATAGCAAAACAAAGGATAAAAATGTTTAACAGCTAAAGGCTCTTTTATTAGATCAAAAGATGGAAACATGATTTCTCAATTCAAACTTTGTCGAATGAATAACTGAAGAAGGACCCACTGTTCAGATAAGTGGAAGATTATAAGTTGATTAAACTGAAGCCTGTTTACAATGACAATCAAAATCCTAAGTGTCAGTTGTTGAAAAGATTCTAGAGAAATGAATGGTTGGTAGTATCAAGAGACAATAAGTGAGCATGTATAGCTTAGATTCTGATTAAATGGTCATTTGGGACGACTAAAAGAACCTTCCCAAGATATTTAACATCACCCATTTAACATCACCCATTTAAGCAGTGTCCAGCATTTGTCGGTTTACAGATCCACTGATATTTCAAATAGAGGGACACTTACAATATGTGCACATGAATAAGCTTTGTTAGTTTACAACATGTATATAGTGTAGTATTGTCCCACGTTGGTAAAAGAGTAGTATGTCCTTGTATAGTATAGCTATAAATAAGGACCTCTTGTGTAGTATTATTCATTCATTCAATATATCAATAACATATTTTCTCCCGTGCCTTCTCACATGGTATCAGAGCAATTGTGAGAGACTTATCGCTGTGCATAAATTCCAGCGATTCCGGGAAAGAGAAATCGCTGTGCATAAATTCCAGCGATTCCGGGAAAGAGAAATCAGTACATTTTTAAGGTTGTTTTCTATCTGCTTCATTTCTGTCGGTGTTGTGCAAAATCCAACACTACCACAAGAGTCATCACTGTCCGGCGACCAAACCCCATTGAAAAACTCCGGCAGCAGCCTCCTCACGCGCCACCAGAAGCTCACGCGCTTGAGCTCACGCGCCGGCGCGTACGACCAGTTCCGGCCATTTTTTGAAAATCTTCCTTCAGAACAGTTGGGTCGCCTGGTAATTCCGATCCTACCTCTACTGTTTTCATTTCATTCCGACAACTTTGAGTTTTTTTCCCAGCAACTACAGTCCTATTCCGACAACTACAGTAGATTCCGGCAGCTACAGTATTTTAGTATTCTGTTTCTGTGTTTCCGTACACTGTTTCAGTGGATTACAGTTGATTCTTTCTCTTATTTGGTAATAACTTGCAACAATTTCTTTGGGATTTGATGCTTTTGGGTCTAGAAACATGAGTTCTGGAAGCTCTAGTGCTATTATTACCTCGGAACCTTTAATGGGAGGTTCAAACTACTTAGCGTGTGCTTCATCTGTCGAGTTATGGTGTAGAGGTCAAGGTGTTCAAGATCATCTAATCAAACAGTCTAGCGATGGAGATGAAAAGGCAATAGCACTTTGGGCAAAAATCGATGCTCAGTTACGTAGCATCTTGTGGCGATCTATTGATTTCAAGTTGATACCCTTGTTTCGTCCATTCCTGACATGTTATTTGGTTTGGGCAAAGGCACGCACCTTATACACTAATGACATATCTCGCTTCTATGATGTGATATCACGGATGACAAACTTAAAGAAGCAGGAATTGGATATGTCTACTTACTTGGGTCAAGTACAGGCAGTCATGGAGGAATTTGAGAAGTTGATGCCAATTTCTGCTAGTGTGGAAAAACAACAAGAGCAGCGACAAAAGATGTTTCTCGTTCTTACCCTCGCTGGACTTCCTAATGATCTTGATTCAGTACGCGACCAGATTTTGGCTAGTCCGTCTGTCCCGACAGTTGATGAATTATTCTCTCGATTACTCCGCCTTGCTGCAGCACCAAGTCCACCAGTGATCTCATCACAGATACTTGATTCCTCTGTTCTTGCATCCGAGACAATGGATGCTCGGGCACATCAAACTATGGAGCATAGACGAGGAGGAGATCGTTTTGGAAGATCTAGACCCAAGTGTTCTTATTGTCACAAACTTGGACACACTCGTGAAATGTGCTATTCCTTACATGGTCGTCCACCCAAAAATGCTTACATTGTTCAGACCGAGACTCCAGGTAACCAAGAATTTTCTTTTTCTAAAGAAGAATATAATGAGCTCCTTCAGTATCGAGCAAGTAAGCAGACATCTCCACAAGTAGCCTCAGTTGCTCAGACTAATACTTCTGTTACTGGTAATTCTTTTGCTTGTGTTTCCCAGTCTAGCACTCTTGGCCCATGGGTCATGGACTCCAGCGCTTCTGATAACATCTCTGGTAATATATCACTTTTGTCAAATATTGTATATTCACAGTCTCTTCCCACTGTTACTTTAGCCAATGGATGTCAAACTAAGGCAAAAGGAGTTGGACAAGCTAATCCCTTGTCTTCTATCACCCTAGATTCC